CAATGTTAGACAAGCAGCCACACCCTGAAAACCAGCTATTATCATCATTACTCATCACTATCTTTAATCCTTTTGCATAATGACTGAAAACTTTCCTTAGACACACACACACACACACACACACACACACACACACACACACACACACACACGCATTGTTCAGGACATGTAGGCTGAAGACGCCAAGGACCTGACAAGATGAGACAGCCCCTCAGACAGTGAAAAAACAAAACAAAACAATTAGAATCGCTCCTCCTCTTTCAAAGTGTCAGAGTGAAAAGAGATGAGCTGTCTGTACATGCAGTGATGTGTTCTGAGTCAGCACAGCGCTGCTACCCTGAGACAGCTGTGTTTATGGTGTGTGTGTGTGTGTGTGTGTATGTTGGAAAAGGGGTTTCACTTGATAGTGGGATTATTAAAAGAGCACTCCTCCCTTTATTCCAGCCAATCATGGGTGTGTTCATGGGTGTGGAACCTGTATTAGCCAAAGAGCTTCCCTCAGCTCACCTGTGGGACAAAGCCAAGTTGGAGGTGATCGCAGGGCGTATATTCATATTAATCTGAAAGATCATAACGGCCATAACCCCATAACAGATCATTGCATTGATAATGTAGAATATGCCTTTACCTAAATTCACCTTTTAAAAAAACCCATTGGATTACCAGCTCATTGACATTTTTGAAAAGGTCTGATTTTCACAATATTAACATAAGTTGATCCGAAGAGCTTATTGTGCATGCTAACATGAGTTGTGAGCAGTTTCTGTCTTCCAAAAAGACCTGAAGAAGTAAACGTATACAGCATTTGTAAATGTCCTAAAAACTCCTTTTAGCTCTGTTTTTATCTCCAACTCCTGAGAAAAATATCAGATCTTGCTGCTGGAAACAGCTGCCTGCTCCAACTTGAACACCAGGTGTTACATTTGAGAGTGCATGAAATCTAGTTTGTAAGTGTGCAGAAGTCTAAATAGGTAGCTAAAAATAAAGGATAAATTAATGAAAACATACATTGTCGAAAAGTTTGCAAAAAATTTATAAATTATTGTAACAACCAAGAGCAATGGGTAAAGATAGTTGAAAAAGTGATACATGGTGAAAACATCCAGCTTGTGCCACAAGTAGTAAGAATGCAAAGTCAAACAACAACAATCAATTGACAAACTGTTTAATATACATAATATATTATTCAAATCATATCCATTTTTATGTAGCTTTTAGTGTTAAATACCATCCAGTTTAATATCTTAATATAAAGGAGGAGACATTCCTAATTTAGGTGCCGCCTCTGAGAAAGCTCTGAAATGTAGGAGCAAGAACATGCAGTGCTTTATAGACAAACAGGATGATTATACGAGCAAGAACTGGCACAACATGGTCTCTCTCTTTTTCGAACATTGAATAGTTTTGCTGCAACATTCTGGATCAGTTGAAAGTGAGATAAAGATGCCTGGGTGATACCAAACAACTTGAGATGGGAAGAAATGCATGGTTGACTTTAATCAGATCCAAGACATAGAGGAAATGCTTGATCGAGGAAATAATCCAGATTTCGACAAGTTCATTTGCCTGTTTATTGGATTTTAGTGCTGCAATAAATGCGATTTTAATGTCAGTGCTCCATACTATTTTCATTTCCTATCCCTGAGAGAACATCTGCACACACACACTCACACACACACCATCACACTCCCTACGATGTCAGGCAACCTTACAAACCCATTAAAGTGCAAGCCTTATCCTGCCTCTAGTAATCAGGAATGAAAGAAGATGGGAGAGGGTGGGAACACTGGGACTACGCCTCAGATACACACACCCAAAAATTATGCAGCTCATTCAGCCAAAGGACAAAAAAGAACACCATGTGTGGAATTCAGTGGTTAGTTTTACAGTTTTTTGCAGCAGGTTAAATGTGCACAAGACTACCAACAATCCCCTCGTTCTTTCTTAACTTAGTGTTTCCTCTAACGCACAGTTAACCCACTAAAACATGCTCCTGCATACTCAGAGTTCAAGTTCAGTACTTGATCGTTTTAAGGCACACCAGAGCTGCAAATTACGACACAGAGGCCAGCGCTGGAATGCCGTTTTGGCTGCGCGAGTTTATGTGCAGGCAAAGGCGTGTTCTTAATTGCCATTTGCCACAGGGAATAACAAGATGGTAAGGTGGGATTTTTTTTTCCCTGAGAAGAAAATGTTATAGCAGTTTATCATCACCTTCATGAATCACAGCGAGAACACAAAAGCTCTAAGACTAAGTTGATACTAATGAAAGTGCAGAGTGAGCAGAGCTACTGGGTTTATCGTCAGATCCCAAAGTATGATGGGTAAGAATTCTTCTGCACACAGTCATCCACGCCAAGTCTGCAATTATGCTTGAGTTAATGGAAAACAACTGTTTGCAATAAATCATAAGCAGAAAACAAACACTGCATATTATACTCTTTCCTGCTCCTCTCACTCTCGTATACTTTCACTCCTGCACGCTCATACACATAACTTCCAATCCTGCACACTTACAAACACACACACGCTACATTCCTCATTCTAGGTTTATTGGGTGACAGAGTGGTGTAGGGAGACAGGGTTCAGGTTCAAGCTCTCATATGTTATTATTTTTTTACTATCACTATTATTATTATTATTGCTGTTAGTGGTAGTAGTATAAGGACAAAGTCTGCTGCCTCTGCACCAAGGGCATGGGCACTGGGAGTAGGGGTGCTCAGGGGGCTGCAGAAACCCCAAAATATGGCATAATGAAAACCATTAGTTCCTAAAAATGTTTCACAGACTTTCTTCTTTTTTACTGGGATTTACATGTGTACAATGTTTTTATCCACTAAAAGGTTATACAATATGTGTAAAATATTAAAAAGTAACTATTAAATAAGCTATAAATGATCCTTGTTATTCAAAATAATGCAAAAACCATGAATCTCATGCATTTAACATTTAGTATGTCATAATATAGACAAATTTCATCTCAGGACCCCCAACTCTCACTGAATTCCATCGTCCCTGACCAAGGAATGCTTGAACGGTGTAAGACATGATCAGTCTTGACTCAGAAACTGCAGATACATCATTTGGATTTGTTATCATCTGTACTCATTCACATTTTTTCTTCCTTTACTTGTTCTTCTTTCTTCTTTAAATTCTTAATTTACCTCTGTTGTGGCAGCTGTTTCTATAAAAAGAGGTTTTTATCTGATGAGAAGATCTTAGTCAAAAATAAAAAGGTCAAATGAAAACAATAGGAGTCTACAGCCACGCTAGCAACTCTGTGAGGTTGCACTTTGGCACAGCGACACTTTAAGCTGACATGCTGATGTTTAGCAGGTAGGCTATAGTGTTTACCATGTTCACCATCTTAGTTTGCCGTGTTAGCATGGTTCATATTTCACACCGGTGCAATATGACTCTGAAGTTTAGACGGTGGTTTCATACCTGACTACTCGACAAATTTCTCAGCACTAAGATTTTCCACCATGCCAACTAATATCAAGATGTGGGGAAGGAGTTCACATTACAGACAGATTGTACTGTAACTCAAACAATAAAGGGATCTTTAGGGGATCACTGTTGGATGTTAAATCATTTAATGATGGACCCATTTCTATTCAGTTCTTTACTTTTTTAATACTTTAATTTACTGCCACAATAAAGTTTTGTTTTTTATTTCAGATATCTTCATTAGGGGGCTTTACCAAGCAAATATTCATATATGGGATTGTGATTAATTCAACATATATTTCTGCCACCCCTAAAGTCTCCATGCCACCCGGGAATATTTCTCTAGGTCCGCCCTAGATAAAATGCACAAAGGATTGCATCAGTGAATTTACAGATGGAGTTCACACTGATCTGCACATTGCTGTGTGTATTCTCAAAGTTAGGAAACATTTGTATTTGTTTTTGCATAAGAAATGCTCAAGATACCACTGTTTCAGGATGATAAATTACATAATTAGTCATATTTGCCAGAATTATATCAAGAAAAGTGACTTTGAGCACTCTCAGTAAGCTGCAAAGACCACACCTGAATTCTACTGGAACTGGAACTGAGCACAGAACACATCATACATAATAAATATTAAGTGTAAACAATATAAGTGGGACATAAAGCATTAATCATTAATCAGTCGGCTGTTTTCATAACTCTATCTTTTCTTTCTTTCTATCTTCAAACTTTGATAATAAAATTCAACCAAATTTACTGTCAATTCAACAGCTGTCAAACTTGTTTTTCCTGTGAGTCCCACCCTTTGGCTCGAGGCAAGTGTTTCAGTAGACTAATGGGAGAGTTTTTTCTCAGCAGAAGAGACAGAAAGACGGTGGGTGAGAAGGGCGTGTCGAGGAGAGGCCAGAGATGCACCTTGGCAACTGTTTGTAATTGAAATTGGTCGTTGGATGCATTATCCACAGTTTGCCTTTGCCTACAGCTGTCACATGTTGCAGATTTTCAGATATTACACTGTGTTATTTTTTAAATGATCAATACATATATTTTAGCTATACCTGCAAATAGAAGTTGTGCACACTCAAGTCTACATCTACACTTGTGAGGATGTAACTCCAGGTCCTAACCCAAACCTTAACCAGCATGATGAACACCAACTGTAACCCTAACATTAACTCCAAAAATCAAATGTTCACCCTCAAAAAGCTCCTCGAAACAACGAGAACCAGACAAAATGTTCACAAATATCCCTTTAAAATAATGTTCGGTAGATTTGTCTCTTAGTTCTGAATTTTATAAATACCATAACTTTTGAAAAAATGTCCTCACTTGTCTTAAACTCAAACTGGTCCCCACAAAGGCAGAACAACAGCAGCACAAACACACTGTCTGCCTCCAGCTGAGTTTGGAGGGGAGTGGCACGGAGAGAGAGAGAGAGAGAGAGAGAGAGAGAGAGAGAGAGAGAGAGAGAGAGAAAGAAAGAAAGAAAGAGAAAAAAAGTTTTTTGGCTCAGTAGGTTGGGTAGGGACAGGGAGGTGTGGTCTCCTGCCTCCAAAAGCTGTCCTCCCCTGCCTGTCGGTTGCACTCTGCTCCAGAGGGACCGGGGCGGACAGGTGGTCACAGAGAGACCGGCTGCCTGCTGCACCTCTCCTCCACCCAGTCACTTTGGCTGCCGTTGCATTGCCAGAATGAGCATGTACGGGTCTCAGAAGGCCCTGAACATGAGCCGCAGGGTCGGGTCCAAAGGCGACTTGACCGGCGCGGGGAACTACAATTACGCGCGGAGCGAGGTCGTGCACGGGGACGGCAACGGATACGAGCCCTACATGGACGGATACAACACCTACACCTTTTCAAAGTCCTCCTTAGGCGGAATGCAAGGCGGCATGGGAGGCGGCATGATGACCTGCACGGGAGGCGGAATGTCAGGCGGAATGATGAGCAGTAAGGGAGGCGGCATGATGAGCGGGATGTCAGGCGGAATGGCGAGCGGCATGATGAGCGGCGGAATGTCTGGCGGAATGGGGAGCGGCATGGTGAGCGGAATGTCATGCGGCATGGGAATAAGGTATGCATTCATTTTCTGCTCAATTGAACAACTATTTAACCTGCTCGCTGCCACCTGTTGCCTGTCTCTGTGAACGGGGGGGGCATATGTTGCCCTCTCTGCAGGGAGGGAGAGGATGCATGTCAGTCTAGAAAGCTGTTTGCTATGAAATATTAATCAAGACAACCTGTTTAGTCCCAGTGTTCATTTCACCTCTGCACACCCTTAGAGTTAGGCATGATAGCCCTGAAGCAATTGCAGCTCAAACAGCCAGTTTACCACAAAAATGCATAGTAACCTTTGCAGGGTAATCTGACATAACCTGTTTTGTTGACCTTAAGAACAAGGTTTTATTACTTTATGAAGTAAAGTTGCATCCTCTTTATAAGAAAGTTTACAAAGAATAGAGCTATTGTGCATTCAGTTTGTTTGTTGAGGGAGTTCCCTGAGCTTTTATTACATTAAGGTGAGACCCAGTGATAATAAAACAATGCTGCGCTGTAATGAATGTCTCAGTGTCTGAATGATGACTCTGTTTCTGCAGATTTTTTAAATTGTAACTCAGCTTTTTCTCTGCACAGCAGCCTCCCTCCCCGGAGAGATGAGTTTGATTTATAGTTAACACTGAACCGATAAGTTCCCGCTGCTGCAACAGCTTAGCACTCACTTGTTCCTGAAACATTTATGTCAGTTTCATTCCTTCCACACTGTCACCCACAGAGGAAATATGTCACTGTGGCAATTTAGGAAAGGCCAGAGAGCGTCTGGCCGACACGATCACAACATGTTTGACACAAAGACTCTGCTGCTGTTGCGAGAGGAAACAGGTCGCTTAGTTTCTGGGTCCATTTCATATCTTAGAGTTTCTATTATTAGCAGGTATTTGTGTTGCACTTGTGATTAAAGTGAGTGAAAACAGAGCTGTGAAGTGGAGTTTTTTTTAAAGGAAAATCCACAGAATTACTCAGTAGTCACTGGAATTAGACCGATATATCAGTTGATATCGGCTTATAGCAGATATGTCATTATCCTCTGACGCTTAGATAATACATTTGGTGCAAAGGCATCCAGCAGCTTTTTGTGTTGTGATTGTGTGCAGTATTTTGGGGAAAGTATTGCAGATATGACGTTATCAGCACACAGGTCAGCTGATAAGCAACAACAAAGGAGCAGTGCAGAAAAAAAGAAAGAAAGATACATTTGACTTTCATTATAAACTGTCGCCATTTTACAGTTCGCCCACAGAGGCCATTTTTCAAAAGAATTTGTGCATGTCACATTTATGTACATAAATATATCGGCTGATATATTGTTATAATCTTTTATCAATACTCTAGTCATCATTTTATCATTTCTTGAGGTGCATCAAGTTTGCTATCTGTATTTTCACAAGATTTAAATGTTTACTTCTGCATAACTACAACAGATCTGCAACAATCAGTCAATTAATCAATTAGTTGTCAACTATTAAATTAATCGGCAACTATTGTGATAATCGATTAATCGTTTTGAGTCATTTTTTAAGAATAAATGTCCAAATTCTCTGATTTTAGCTTCTCAAATGTGAATATTTTCTGCTTTCTTTGATCCTCTATGACAGTAAACTAAATATGTTTTGGTTAAACAAGACATTGGGATTAGGGAAACATTAAAACTTAATTAAAACTTTTTGGGCATTTTATGGACAAAACATCAAATCGATTAGTTGATAAAAAAATTAAAAGATAGACAGATTGACATGTCCAGTTACAGAAAACATCCCAAGAAAGTTTCATCTAAATATAAACTTCTTTAAAGAAAATTATTTGACAGAAAGTGGCCCCCCAAAATCTTTCCTCGAAGATTTGTAACCCTCGATGTTTTACTTGTGTCGTCTCAATCAGTGGTTCCCACAACATAAATCTCAGGTGTCATGAGATGATTGACGTGATTGGAAAGAAGAAAAAGATCATAGGTCTGATGCACAAAATTATATTATCTTAATAATATTCAAAAGGAAACTGAGCTCAATCAATCATGTGCAAGCTGTCATGGCTTAATTTAAAGGGCTCACAAAGTAAAGCAGTAATGAACCAGTGGTCTAAACTGCGTTATTGTGCTGAATTTGCCTTTAAAACAAATAAAGCAGCTGAAGATTATTGAACTATTACTACTAGGTACTACTATTGAATATGAACTGAAGGTGATGAGTTTACTCTGCTGCCCCCTGCAGTGGCTCCAACCTCAATGCCATCCACCAGAAGGCCATGATCCTGCAGAGCCAGTGCCAGGAGTACCTGCAGAAAGCCGAATACGCCCTCCAGTCTGTGAGTCATGACTTTTTTTGTTTTTATTTAACGCTACCTGTTGGCTCTTTTCCTTCAGTAGTGCAAATAAAAGCCTGTCTGGGTCGGAGCTCCTTCTGTAGCTTTTTATTTCAGAAGAAAAAAAAAAAAGCTTTGTGTTGCAGTTTTACTTCTGCTGGCAAAAAGATGAAAGAATGACAGAAAATGTTGTAAATTGAGTAACTAGATGAGTAAGTCTGTAATATGTGCGTGACAGGATATATAACAGGAACCAGGGTGATATTGAAAGCACTTTGTTTATCTCTTTGTTGGATCTGTTTTGGGTTTTTTTGGAGCCAAATCCCCTCAAGCGATATTTCAACTGTGAATGAATGGGCTGATAGTTTTACTTTCTCAGCTTCGTGTTGAGCAACTTGTCGTAAATTATTTGTTTCTCTGCGAAGTTTTAGCGCTGTGCCAGCCCCCCAGAGAAAGGTCTGGCTGAACCCATTATCATTCTGGTATTCTGGCTTGTTTCTGTAGAGGAGGAGAGAATACCCCTCTGAATGGACCTCCTAAATATCAATCACTGGGTCTGTCCTGAATGCCAGGAAGACCAAATTTATGGTTCTTGGATTTAGGAAAAAGGGTCTTAAGCTGAAAGTTTTTTCTGAGGGGCAACGCATTGAAGAAGTTTCAGTTAATAAAGTTTGAGGTGTTTATCCAGATAACTGTTTATCATGGACTCCACACACCACTTATCCAAAAAGACCACTAGCTCAGCGTGGATGATCCAGCAGATAGCTTCTCATTTGCCTATAGAGGTACTGAAACAGTTAACCCAAGCCTTAATTGGCAGTCAGGTCAGCTATTGCTCTGCCATTTGGGGCAATGCGACACAGGAAGGCTCCAGAGAGCACAGAATAAGGCAGCTAGAACTGTCTTGAGGTGTGCGTATGATACGAACTACATAAGACTCTAGGGGGGTTGACTGTGAATGATACCATTGACAAACGCCTCCTGTGTTTATGTTATAATGTACAGTATAAGAAGAAACCGAGAGCTATATATAACCGACTTCATTTAGTTCATTTAACAAAACATTTTTTGAAACTGATTACATCGATGTAATGTTTATTTGTACTGCGAAAACAAAAAACCTAGTAAAAATTACCTAATCTGGAATGTTTCTGTAACTTACTAAACTAAGTTATTGCCACCTAAAAATACTAATAAAAGCTGCTTAACATATGAAATTGAGTTTGTGTTACCTACAATTAATCCATTTCAACTATTTTCTAAAAGTTAAAATAACTCGCATTACAGTGTTTTAAAAAAGTCACATATATTGTGGAGGGTTTTTGATTTTTGAATCTTTTCCACAGATAAACTATATGTATACTTTGTGCACAGTGTTTTTGTTACACCTCTCTGAATGTTTTGTTTATGCCATGCAGGGCAGTGCCCCGGGCGAGGCAGAGCGCTACATGGCGATGGCTAAAGAGACTATCGAGCAGCTGAAGAGCTGCGCGATGGACCTGAGACAAATGGGACAGCCCAATGACAACGTAGTCAGGACGTGAGAAAGACTTCTCTTTTTCTGTCCTTCTTCCTCTTCTGATTTCCCCTTCTTAAAATATCCTGTCTGTGACCGGGATGGTTTATGTACACACACAAGCCTAGCCATTGTCTTTTCTCTCTTCCCTAATCTGTAGTTTGGAGATTTGTAAAGACCAGCTGAAGGGGGTCCACATGGCCATCACAGGCACTATGCAGAGGAGGAGGAGCACCAGAGGGAGCTCCGGAGGCTGGGAGGAGCCTGGAAGGAGCTATGAAGATGCTATGGGCTGGATTGCGCAGCAAAAGGTGCACACACATACACACAACTGCGTGCCTTCAACCGCAGATTCCTCTCTCTCAAGGTCTTAAATCACAGTTGAAAGTACAAGAGCACACACCCACACATCGAGAGACTCAACGTTACATAATGTAACAGTGAAGTTGATGTAAACAGATTTAAAGGAGGATTTAGTGGCATCTAGTGGTGAAGTTGCAGATTGCAACTAACTGAACACCACCTCCAGAATATCTCTCAACAATCTTTTAGATTTTCTGATATTTTTAATCAATAAAATTGGTCTAATTTTCTCTTTTTTGGGGCAGCTGTGGCTCATGTGGTAGTAATCTAGTAATCGTGTCCTTAGATACTGAATTGCTCCCAATGGCAGCTCTGCAGTTGAAAAGACCCATTTTTATAGTCTCTTTTCAAGCTTTTTCAAGGTCATTCTGATTCAGAAGCTAGATTTTGTGTTGCTTTAAGAAAGAGGAGTCGAGAGTGCCTGCGAACCGACTGACATATCTCATTAAACCAGAATGCTCTGCACACAATCTTTACACAGTTCAGACTTGAAAGCATTCCTCAGCTATGTGTTGTCAGAGACACTGGTTTAAAGTGGTGATACTCAGCAACTATGTCTGACATTAAGAACAATTACTTTTAAGAGGATTGAAATGAAAAAAAAACACACACACACACACACACACACACACACACACACACACACACGCACACATGTTCCTGGGAGGTACTGCAGGGAATGAAAAGAAGGTTTTGTTTTGTCTTTAATTCTCAGGCCAGTTTCCTTCTGGTAGATTCCAGAGACGCTTTCAGTAAGAGGGCCATAAATCTAACTTGTTTCTCTGCCACCACCTGCTGGTGATGTGAAATGCATATGAAGAAACACTGATCTCTGAACTGAAAATGTGTGTTTCAGAGGAGAGTTGTGATTCAGTTGTTTTTCTGTTCTGTCTGAAAACAGCTGCACTGATACTAGCGCCAGTGTGCTGATCATTAAAATACGTGTTTCTGTGTGTGTGTCTGGTGTTTCAGCGTCTGATTGAAACGGCTTCCTGGGGAGACGATGCTGCAACCATCCAGCAGCAGCTCATCAGCCACCAGAAGTTTCACAGCTCCATCCAGAGGAGCCACGAGGTGGACCGAGCCAGAGACGACCTGGTGGGTTCTCAGCACTCTGTCGGACGCCGTGGGCTAGCATGCATAGTGTCATTATTGCTGTGATGAAAAGAATAAGCAGAAGCACCAATAATCTGTTCCTTGTTTGCATGTGTCGCAATTTGATTTAAATACCTGCTCTATTAGACAAACTTAAACAACACATAAAGTACAGTCCCCAAGCATGCACAAACCTCTACATTTATTTATAATGCTGGAGAACATGTTAACAGCTTGTAAATGTGGATCTGGATCCATAAACCACTTGGATACATGAAGACAGACATGGGATGGACTGCATTAGACAGGAAGTGCAGCAGTTTAAAAAATATGAATGTAAACAAAAACCCCTCGTCACTTTCTCATAACTTTCCTCCAGATTTCTTTGAACTCTCTCAACAGCAGCGTTTCTCCAAAGGGGCATAAAATAAACTTAACATCAACTAACATGAATAAAACATTACCTCCTTGCCGGAGGTTTGACTGTTTGGCACATGCTGTCAGATCCAGACTGGAGGGTCCGCCAAAATTTAATTTTAAGTGCTATTAGGTTAAAATATGTAATTTGTTAATTGAGGGCTTTTGAAAATTTCTTTCAGATAATTTTTGGGGATTTTATTGCCTTTATTTGATAGATCCTTAGTACATGGGATGTTCCAGATGAACTACCAGGCGCCCTGAAAATAAGGGTTTTCGTTTCTGAGTACTGAAAGTCTATACTCAAATACAGTTGCTCCCAAAAAAAATGATACCTATTTAATACATTAAATTATTAATAAGTTCAGTTTTAAAAAAAGGAACATGAAAAGTTTAATGTGCGTTACCTGTAGTAGTAGTTACTACACACCCCCAATAAAATATTAAATGTATATGTCAGATATTTTAAAATGGTATGTAAATTAAAGGAAGGTTATTCACAAATACAGGGTTTTTATGTAGTTTTCTTGAGAGTCTCTCACCAGTTTGATTCTCTTCCCTTAGTTAAAGAAGGGAGACAAAGGAAATCTTTATCATCTGGAGCAAGAATGGGACAGTTTGCAGGTAAAAGAAAGACAAATACTGCATTAGCTCATCATTACTGGAGTTAAATTGTTGCTTGTTTAAACTCGCTTCCTTCTCCCGTGGCAGCAAATGTCGTTCGGTCGGACCCAGCAGCTGCAGGACCTCCAGCAGATCATTCAAGAAATGTCCCAGGAGATCATGTGGGTCAACGGCAAAGAGGAGGAGGAGCTGATGTTCGACTGGGGAGACAAGAACATCGACCAGTACATCCCACGGAAGCAGGAGAGCTACTCGGTTAGTAAAAGGTTCACTGAGGTCCAGGAGATAATTGGGTTCATTTTGACACCTCAGAAATCCATGTCTAATTTCACTTTTTTAAGAACTTCATTGTAGTCGATTAACATTCTTGGCAATCCTGTGAGTCTAAATTACACTAATGCCTTCCTATGAAGTTAATCTGCGTCTCATAAGGGAGCAATCATCTGTGATAGATTAGATTTTGGCAGCTGCAGTCAGTCATCCACTTAGAGCGAATCCACAGCGACTGTTCCTCCAGCTGCATACTTGTGTTTTTGTGTCCCCTGTGATTACTGAACCTCTTTTTACATAACAGAAACTGATGAGTGCCCTCGAGGACAAAGAGAAGGACCTGAATAAACTGAAAGCCAAAGTGGATACCCTCCTGAAGAACAACCATCCGGCTTCAGACAAGATCGAGGTGAGCATCCTGTCGTCATGTTTATCTGTGTAGAAATCTCAGACTGACACTCGGTGTTTATGTGCATTTATAAGTTTGCAAGTGGGAGCCTTAGCTCATATTTTTCTTTCTTCTCTGTGTTGGTGCATTTTTTTTTTCAGGCTTACAAGGACACTCTGCAGACTCAGTGGAGTTGGCTCCTTCAAATTACCAAATGCATTGATGTTCATCTGAAGGAGAATGCAGCTTACAACCAGGTACAAAACATAAAACTTAAAGCTGCTCTAATAAATATTTTTACATTAACAATTTAGGAATTGACAATGTGTAATGTAGAGGGCGTCAGTCATAGTAACAAACCATAAGAGAACATGAGAGAACATTACCTTTTCGAATGTTCTGGCATAACGCAGCCACAATGTGTAGAATTTAAAGAAAAGTTAAATTTGTTGCGCCCCTGGTGGTTGTATTTAAAAAGGCACTTTGGCAAACAATGCGCAAATCAGCTTTCACCTTGACTCCTCGCATTAAAATTCAAACCAGAGGGGCGTTAATTGATGCAAAAGTGATTAATAAGTAAGTCACCATCATGTGCTGAACTGAAACAGACACATACCGATCTCATCTCTTGTGATCAATTAATTTACCATATGGTGTTCTCCCTCAATAAATATCAAATCTTTGCTCCTGTGATCTGTTTTTTCCCCCTGAATGTTAATATTGTATTTCATGAAAATGCATTCATGTTTTCTGATACTCCATATGTCGAGTGAAGCGAGCCCCCTTCACTAAATAACACTAAAGCCCCTATTGTCTGCCTAATTATCTGTTTAATATATCTCAGACTGACATAGCATTGTGTGTTCATCAATAGTTCTTCAAGGAGGCCAATGAGACGTACAGCAACCTGCAGAAGGAGCATGAGACGGTCCGTAAGAACTTCACCTGTGACAAGAACACTTCACTGGAGGACCTGCTGGAGCTGCTCAGGGGACTGGAGGTATAGCTGGGCTTCATTAAAGGGCCTGACAGTGTCATAGGACTGAGTTTAAACGTGGATACCTTCCATTGACAGTAAAAAATTTGTGGATAAAGCTTCTGGGTCTGTGAAGTGAGTCCAACGTAGAAGTAGCTTAAAGCTGCATTCTTTCTAATAGCCAGCAGGGGGCAGCCCCATTGGTAGCCAAAAGTACTTTCCTGTCAAAAATGACCCGATTTCTGAGTTGATTTATGAGCTAAAATCAAAATTAAACACTTAATGGTCTCAATCTGTAGTTTCAGTCTTCTTTCATACTGCATGATGTTCATTTAGTAAATGATGGTCCCATTTAGAGTAAAACAGACCATAAAGCAGGGTATGCTTTAGGGCGGGGCTACCTTGTGATTGACAGCTCATTCTCAGTGAGTCCCTCCAGCTCAACGAACCAAACTCAGATCAAACTGTCAGATTCGGCGGTGCTAATCAAATATGAATCCAGATTCTGTTCCTGCGTTGTCTATTTCTATCATAAAATCATTGCAGAAACATATTTAATGTACTGTTTGTCTGTAATACGAGAACGTGTGCGACCAGGCCCACAGACGGGTTGAAACTGAGAGCAGCAAACCTGAAGGGCTGCCCTCTCTAAACTGATTAATCAGCATATCTGTAGCTGTCTTGGGCAATAAATATTTTTTAATTCCTCATATAATGTCAGACTGGCTGAATCTGTTCCTTTATAAGTTGGTCTTTTTATCGCCGTAAGCTGTTTTGTCCTGTTTTGCTTCTTCCTTCAAGCCCTTTTTTTTGTTGGTGTGTGTTTAAATGGATTTTTCCTTTTATCACATCAGAACTGCTGCAGTTTGTAGTTATTATTATCGATCTGCGTTATTATTATTGATCTTGGGTTGTTTTTTATTATCCCCAGAGGGAGAAGGAGAAGATTATGGAAAACAAGAGGCAGGTTAGCCATCTGGTCAACCGGTCCAAGAGCATTGTGAGACTGAAACCCAGAAACCCTGAGGAGAAGAGCGGCAGCACCGTCATCGTCAAAGCCCTGTGTGACTTCAAACAAGACCACGTCAGTTTTCTAATCATCAGTTCACAGTTTCACACATGCACATGTTTAAACCAGACTCTCACATGTTCACACAGTTGGTAATTAAATAGGATCAAGCTTCCAATGTGTTAAATCTTCACATTTATTCAGCTGGAGCCAGATTTGATTCTGTTTGTGTATTTATTTATTTATAAAATTCCTTTTCCTTGGGCTCCGCAGAAGGTGATCTGTAAGGATAATGAGGCGATCCTGAAAGACAACAGTCAGCGCAGTAAGTGGGACATTACAGGCCCGGGAGGACTCGATATGTCGGTACCCTCTGTGTGCCTCATCGTGCCGCCTCCCAACCCACTCAGCGTCAGTCTCGCCAACAAGTAAGGCGCAAAACGATGTTTGTTTCGAGTCCTGACACATGGGGATGATTTTACGACAAGGATCCTTGCCGTTGGTTTAAACTCCATCTCCCTGTTGTCCAAAGGAACGAGCAGTACTACGAGGCCATCCTGTCAATCTGGAATCAGCTGTACATCAACGTTAAGAGTCTCATTGCCTGGCAGTACTGCCTCCTGGATATCAGACACATCAACTCCCTCACCATCTCCATGGTAAGTAATGAATGAACTCTCTGAAGTCGGGCTCTGTTTGTTTATATTGATTTAATAAATTCCAAACTCCAAACTAAAAACATCCCTTTCACACCATCGTCGCTCCACTCTGCACAATCAAAAACTATCCAACAGAATGGACATTACCCGAATATTATTATTAGTGTTTTAAATGCATTTACTTACCTTTCACTTCCAGTTTTGGTTTCTGATGTTGTTCACTGAAACATCGTTTGTGTGTGTGTGTGTGTGTGTGTGTGTGTGTGTGTGTGTGCGCGCGCACAGCTGGCCAAGATGCGTCCTGAGGAATATCGTCAAATTATGAAGAACCTGGAGACTCACTTCCAGGAGTTCAAAGTGAGCTGCCACGGCTCCCAGATGTTTGTTGACGAGGACAAGAGGGCCATGGAGAACCAGTTCAATGGAGCCCAGGCCCACTATGACCGGCTGGTGGTGCAGCTGCCTACTTACAGTCAGTATTACAGAAACACATATTATAAAGAAACTGAGTAAAAAAAACTATTTTACTTAAAACTTATATTTTATGAATTTTACTATTATAACACAAAGATTGTCAAAGCTATGTCAGTAAAGGATTACGTGTTAGAGATTGCAGCTGTAGGACCAGAGAATAAGAAATTACTTTTTAACCATTATCTTGCGTCTTCTCACAGTTGTACAGGAACAACGAGAGGTAGAACAAGCAGCCGAGCAGCAACGCCAACATCAGCTGATTATAATACAGCAACAGCAACAACAAGCTGCCGCCGAAGAGGAGGCCAGGAGGCTCGAAGAAGAAAGACGGAGAGCGGAGCTGAAAAAACAGGCAGAGAGGAAAGCGGAAGTGAAGAAAGACCAAACGATTAAGAAGGATGTAGTAAAAGGGACCAAGAGCGAGGCAGGGAAGAAGAAGGTGGTGGTGTCTTCTTCTTCTACCTGCTCGTCCTCGTCCTCCCGCAGCTTATCTGAGCTGCACGCGCTCAGACTGAGGCTGGAGGCTGCTGAGGGCATGCTCAGTCAGCACGTTCACATCTGCCTCGGAGAGGACGGGGTGCACGACTGTGGCCTCAAGATTACTCATTTGGAGGTAGACACAAAAACTCAAAAATACAAGAAAAACAGACAAACAGACAAGCATGTAGTATTAAAAACAAATCTCATCCCAAATATTCGTTGCAATAGCTGTATATGTGTCCTTGTAGGCGGTGCAGCGTGACGTTGACTCGATTCGTGAGGAGTACTTGCGTCTGAGGGAGAGTATTTTGAAGGAGCTGGAGGGCATGAATGATCCAGATAAAGCCCAGTTCCTCCGCAGTGAGATTGGAATCATCAACCAAAGACTGGGCAGCCTGGAGAGCAGCTCATCAGCTTACCTGCAGCGGTAAGCCCTGTTCTTTATATATATATATATATATATATATATATATATATATCCATAAAATATAGTCAGTTTACTCAATAATAGAAAAAGGGGTCCCTTAAGGTAAAAGGTTGGGAATCAGTGTATGAAAGCACCCTCGCTTTTCTCACATATTACTAAACCAACAAATGTAGGAAGGAAGCTCTGACATATTGATCTCACACATCATCTGCAAAATATATATGTATTCTTTCTCATTTTTCCACCTTGCCACCATCATTTCTCTCTCTATCAGGCTGCAGGCTCTCAGGAACATGCTGGAGAGTGTGGCACAAGCTGAAGACATAGTGAAAGTTCATGAGGCGAGACTGACAGAGAAAGAGACCACCTCCCTCTCACCTAGTGAAGTGGAGGATTATATGTTGACCCTGAAGGTATTTTATGAAATATATTAAATGTTTCATACATTTCTTTTTTTGTTAGAATATTGGATTTTCTGTTTACATGCATCGCACAAGTAATAAAGAATCACTTTAGGATGTGATACTGCAGTTTTTCCAGCCTTTTCTTCTGCACCACTCAGCCTCATACCTGGCAAGCTGCAGCTCGGACAGAATACCAGTGCACATTAGGACATGGATCAGTGGTCAACCATCAGTTTGAGTTAGAAAGCTGGCGTGAGAAAGCTAGAGAATCCCACTGTGTTGCTTTTGGTGTATGCCTGCTGCCAACTCAGGGAGGTTAACGTGTGTCCTGTGTGTTGTTGATGTGTAGAATATTAAAGCAGAGCTGGATCAGAAGAAGGATATTCTGGCTTCTATGGAGGCAGAGTTGGCCAAGGCGAGCCACTGGAACGGTCAGGTGGACGGGCCCTTCCAAAGGTGTGACTTGATGCTGTCCAAATACACTGACCAGGTGAGCCTGCTGTCAGACCGCTGGAGACGACTCTATGGACAGATTGACACCAGGTATGTTTCTCTCTCTCATATCTTTTTTACATTAAGGACCAATGTTCGACCTCCAATGTGAAACCAATCACAGCCATGGGACAGTTTATCACTTGTCCCACGTCAAACCGATTTACTGTGAGAGTCTCATTACATTTATGGATCTGAGGCCCATTTCCCAAAAGCAATTTTCGAGCACTACTGACTCTTTGCTCTTGTCTCATGCAGGGGCTGTTTATGTGAAACATGTCAAAATGAACATGAGAGGAAATTATCTCATGTTGCAAACTGCAGCTTGCATGTTGCAAAACAAACCCTTTATCCTGACGTCATTACACAACAGTTTATCAAGCAAAAATGCAATTTTAAGGTGGCACCTTTGGCTCTGGAACATGTGGAATTCTTTCTTTTACTTGTTCAGAATCCAGGATTTGCAGTTGTATCAGCCACAGCTGCAGCACTACAAGAAAACCAGCGTCTCCCTTATTGATTGGATCGATGCCACGCGGAAAAAACAAGATGCCCTGCAGGCCACCAAGATAGACAACATCCAGGCACTGCAAGACCATATTAACAACCAGAAGGTCTCCTGCTCAGCACCTCGTTGTTATCAGTTAATTTGCTTACAGTGTTAAGGGTTTGTGTCTGTGTCTGTTAAGTCATCAGACATCTCACATCTTTATACTTTTGTGTTTCAAGGCCCTGAATTCAGAAATCAAATTGAGGAGGGAGACAGTAGAGAGTGTGCTGAAGGACAATGAGGCCTGTGTGAATTCTATCAAGGTAAGGAGGCCTTCATATACAGACACCCTTCAAACTCATCAACAGAACTCATTTTATTTTATGAATGTCATGACAATGTTTGTTTTACAGGACTATGAAACGGACCTTGCCTCTTACACCTCGGGTTTAGAGACTTTGCTCAACATCCCCATCAAGAGGACAATGCTGAGGTCGCCAACAATGGATCTTAATCAGGAGGTAATGAAACCATATTAAACACTGGCATCTGAAAAAACATTTTGTTCTTGTGTATTCACGTTAAAGGAGGGGTTTGGTTCATGAAATTTCTTTGAATCAGTGAAGTCAAGTGACGTTATATCTAAATTAATCCTTGAATTTATCTTTGTCTCAGGCTACACAACTGCAAACCCATTACATGGAGTTGCTTACCTGGTCTGGTGACTACTACAAATTCCTGGGAGAACTGCTCAAGAATATGGAGGAGCTCAAGGTACTGATTTTTATATTGTGTAGCTCTATGAATATTTTTGCTTGCTTGTTCTAGCAATTTGTCACATTTACATGATAATAATGTCAGTAATGTTCAATCATTGCAGTTCAGCTCAAAATCATTTATCCATTTAGATGGTTTTAGTGGTTTTAGTGTGAGGAGATATCGGCTGCCTACTCTCCAATATAATGTAACCAGATGGCACTGTAACAATGATGCTCAGCGTGCCAAAAAAACACATTTGAAAGACTCAACAGCAATGTCTCTTTCCAGAAATTATGACTCAATTACTCAAGATAATCCACAGACCTTGTTGTGAGCAGTTTTATGTAGATCAATAGATCAACAATGGATAGATAAATAGCTGTACAGGAAAAGGAAAAATATGTGTTTTTGATTTGGGGGTGAACTGTCACAGCTTTTAGTGTGGAAATTCAACCTTTTTAAAAACTTATTTTATTAATATTAAAGCTGCTTAACATTTTTATATTACAACGGAAAACAGAGAATTTTTACCCTCTTAAAAGTTCTTAAAATTACTTCTGCATTCACCTTTTCTTTGTCTTACTTTCAGATTCGTAACACCAGGATTGACGTGTTGGAGGAAGACCTTCGCCTGCTGAGGGAGAACATCCAAGACAGCAATGATAAGAACAAATCTCTTGAAGACGCTGTTGCCCGCTACCGACTGGAGTTGTCCCAGTCGCAGGATCAGTTGCTTTCAATGGAGGAGGTGAAGCAAAGCGCTGCCCTGCAGTGCAGTACCACCAGGGAGAGCCTGGACACCACTCAGAGCCAGCTCGCAGACCTCAACGATCAGGTGACACGTCTCAACTACTTGCTTGAGGAAGAAAAGAGGAAGAGGAGGCTGGCAGAGGAGCGCTACACTCAGCAGCAGGAAGAGTACGATTCGGTGCTGAGGAAGAGGCAGAAGGAGCTGGAGACGGTCAGCTGGTCCAAGATGGAGGTGGAGAAGAGTGTGGCAAGTAGGGATCATGAGATTGAACAGCTGCGGCGGCAGCTGGCTGAGGAGGCAGGAAGGGTCAAGGAGCTACAGAAGGAGATGTCAAAGGTAAGAAGCCAATGCAGTACGGAAATCAATAACTTAAAGCTCACCTACGAATCCCAGATCCATGTCAGCCGCACAGACATCCAGAGGCTGGCATCCCAAAGGGAGGAGGATACAGCTGAGCTCCAGCGGCAGTATGACAGAATGGTGGCAGAAAGGAGGAATCTGGAGGAGGACGTCCTGAGGCTCAGGATGTCTATCAACGACGCAGAGGAACAAAGAAATAGGGCAGAGGAAGAAGCTCACAGTCAGCGTGCTGTCATCACAGAGGAAGGACGCAGGAGGAGAGAACTGGAAAGTCAGATGGAGGCGCTGATGAGGCAGAGAGATGAGGAAAGAAGCCAGTATGCAGAGGAGCTGGCTGAAGTCATGAAGAGCCTACAGGAGAAGAGTGAGGAGCTGGCCTACATCACACACAGTCTGGAGGAGGAGACTCGCAGGAGGAAAACTATAGAGGAGGGTCAAGGTGTGCTTGAACAGACTTTGTCCCAGATGCAGGTGAAGCTAACCAGTTCATCAGTGGTTGCGACCCAGCTGGGGGAGTGCCAGGACGCGCTTGAGAAGATGCGTTTGGAGCTGGAGAGGGAGAAGAGGGAGAGAAGCAGATTAGAACAGAACATGAGCAGGTTACAGGGGCGCATGAAGGACCTTCAGGAGGTGAGAGATGGGCTGGAGAGCCAAGTGGAGAATCTGAGGAGGTCTAACCAAGAGGAGGTGACCAGAAGAAGACAGCTAGAAACAGAGCTGGAAAATACCACAATAGCAATGAAAGACTACACCAGCACCATTATGGCACTACGCCAGAGCCAAGACCAAGCCAGCATGTCAGAAAAGAGGAATAAAGAAGAGTGTCTTAGGTTGCAGGAAGAGCTGGATAGAAGCTTGAGACAAAACAACACCTCTGCAGAGCGCATGACACAGCTGAGTGCAGAGCTGAAAGCCCTGCAACAACAGCTCCTCCAGGAGCAGGCCAGAGTCAAAGAGGCAAACCTCAGGAATGAGAGTCTTTACAGAACTTCAGAGGAGAGAAGTAAGGCACTGAATGAGAACACTGCTGAGCTTCAAAAGCTGAAAGAGATGGTAGAAACCCAGACCAAGGAGAGGTTGAAGCTGGAGGAAGAACTAAGGGCAGTACGACATGATAAAGAGGAACTCTTGAGATCCAAACAGGAATGTAATGATGAGCTCTCCTCCCAGATTACTGCCCTGGAACTGCAGCTGCAGGACAGTGAGCGCAGCAGTATAGATTACCGCAACCTGGTCTCAGAGCTCTCCTCGGAGAGGGAGAAACTCAAGATGGAGACTGAGAAAATACAAAGCCAGGCCACCGAGGTACATGGAAGTTTGGCACTTAGTCGTGGACTGCTCTCATCTTTCCAAATCAGAGTCCTAATTTGGATCAATCAAGTAGCAATAACTGTCTTTAGGCAAACGTTGGCTTGCATGCTGGAACCCCTCTAGACCCTCTATAGATTACCCACTCGGTAACTCTGATTTGAACACATACATTTGTATGTGTTTGAATCAACTTGCATGTCAGACACTTGCATGCAAACATACTCTGTGCCTCTCTGCCTGCTGATCCCCACTGTGTCCCTGCCCCCACTGTGCAATGTGCAGTCTGCATGCTTTATCGCCTTTACTTCTTTTGGGCAGAATGATCAACACCATCAGTGACATCATTACCACTGGTCCAGTTTGATTATTGTTTGTTGTATTATTGTAGCATCTTAATTGTCTTTAAGACACATTTTGTAAACTTGTAAAAACAGCACTGATATACGCTTAAAATATTAATATTAATATTATTACTAGTCAATCAAGATTGGTGCACATCTATCTCTTGGCATTATTTAATTGTGCTGTTTTGCAAATTTACAGAATGTATTCCAATCTGAACAAAGTAATAGATAAAATAGTTGGTCTGCTTATTTTTGTAGTTGCAGTTGCTAGAAACAATGTAGTGTCAAAATAGTTTGTCTGCAAGATTTGGAATGTTTTTTTATTTTAATTTTCTTTAGAAAATGACTACTGTTATGTCATTACCTTATTATTATTATTATCATTTACTTCCCAGTCTTGTAAGACACTGTCTTGTTTTCTGATGGGAAATCTAAAAGAAAATTAGAATCCGTTGCTAACTTACCAAAGCAAATGATATTTTGGAGGATAGCACACAGACTTGCTCTTTATGTGTTTTGACGACTAATATAATAAGGAACATCTTTTGTTTATTCAATTGTTGCACATTTAACACTGTGCCATCTTGTGGTAGTCGATTTTGCCACATTGTGAATTAAAACAGATTAAAGATAGGAGCTACACAGAGAGCAGAAACATTAAATTTGCAACGTCATTTCCTTTAATTAAACTGAGAGTCAAAATTGTGGACCTTCTTTTAGTATTAGTAAAAATTAATGTGTGCTGTACTCCTTGATACCACCTTGATAGTTCAATAGCAACAGTTCAAACCTACTGAGTTTGATATGCAGTTAATTATGGTAGTAGCATGATAATTTGTGATTTCAGTTTTATTCTGATCTAAATCTGTTCTATCTCAGTGTCATCGGTTGTTTGATTGTATACAATGATGTAAAATGCAGAAATGTATGGTTCTTGATATACAGTAGATTTATCAATGTATTTTTGAGTTGACTAACCTTTTGTCTCTCTGCTTTCTCTGCTTTTTTCCTTTCCTACAGACAACAGCCACAATGCAATCCATTAAGTCTCAGTACAATGAGATTGTGATGGAGAGAGATGCTCTGTTGATGAAACTGAAGTTGTCCGAAAGTGACAGAGATCGCCTTCAAAAGCTAGAGGAGGAACTCAGTCACATTAAACTGTCCCTAGAGACAGAGCTTCGCAGTAAGCAACGCATACAAGAGGAGAACGAGAGGATGAAGAGGGATTTAGGTTACTGGAAGGACCAGTATGAAAGTAAGCAGGGCCTAATCAGGCAATGTGACACAGACAAGGAACGTCTGGAAAGGGAAAAGAGCTCTTTGAAAACTGAGATAGAGAGGCTGATGAGGGAACTCAGGGAGCTTGAGGAGTCATATAAAAGTAAGCTGTCGGCCATCCAGAAAGAACTACGAGAAGTAACCATTGTCAGACAAACCATGGAAACTGAGCTGAAGAGAGCTAAAGAACCCCCACCCTTGGATGGCTCCACTGTGATTTTTGATGGAGTCCGCAAGTCAGTCACAGCAAACCAGTTGCTTGACTGTGGTGTTTTAGATAAACCAACATTTAGCCAGCTTGTGAAGGGGCATAAGACTGTGCCTGATGTGTCTGTTGACAAAAAAATCAGTCTAAAAGGGACAGGCCCAATAGCTGGGGTGGTAATTGAAGGTCCAAAAGGTCCAGGGTCTATAACTGGAGTCCTTTGCAAAATGACTCTCACTGAAGCCAAGAGAGAGAATCTCCTGCCACCAGATAGCGTAGGACTGCTATTGGATGCTCAGGCTGCCACAGGCCACATAATTGACCCCAAGACGAATAAGAAGTTGACAGTTGAAGAGGCATTAAATCAAGGTGTGATTGATGAAGAGGACAGAGAGAGGTTGCTAGCAGCAGAGGCTGCAGCTGTGGGATATAGTGGTCCTGGCACTAGCAAACCCCTTTCAGTATTTGAGGCCATGAAGAGAGGACTGATTGACAAGAACACAGCACTGCGTCTGCTACAAGCCCAGGAGTCTGTGGGGGGCATCCTAGATCCCATACTCAGTGTGTTCCTTCCCAAAGACACAGCCATTGAGCGCAACTTAATTGATGATGACATATATCGTGCTCTGAATCAGAGGCCTGAGCTCTACCTGGACCCAGAAAGTGAAGATGGTGTAACCTATATGTCAATGAAGAGAAGATGTAAGGTAGAGCTACACACAGGCCTTCTCCTTCTTCCTATCCCTGAGAAGGTAGACCCCTCAAAACTTGTCTTTGATGGTGTTCGGAAACCTGTCACAGCCAAGCAGCTGGTTGACTGTGGTGTGCTGGACAAGCCATCATTTAAAGATCTAGAAAAGGGGAAGAAAACTGTCCCAGAGGTCTCTGTAGACAAAAACGTTAATCTGAAGGGGACTGGGCCTATTGCTGGGGTTATAGCTGGGAGTCAAGGCAAAATGTCTTTGTCAGAAGCCAAGAAAAAGATGCTGCTGCCCGAAGATAGTGCTGATTTACTACTGGAAGCACAGGCTGCCACAGGTCACATCATTGACCCCAGAACTAATCAGAAGCTGACAGTAGAGGAGGCTTGCACCAGAGGGGTGGTGGATATTAGGGATCGAGATAAATTATTGGCAGCAGAGGCTGCTGCTGTGGGATACAAGGATCCTAGAGCAGCCAAACCTCTCTCAGTGTTCGAAGCCATGAAGAAGGGAATAATCGACAGGAAGACTGGGCTACGCCTGCTGCAGGCTCAGGAGTCTGTGGGAGGCATTCTAGATCCTAATCTTAGTGTGTTCCTCCCTAAAGATACAGCTATCAAGCGCAACCTTTTGGATGAAAACCTCCGTCAAGCTTTGAACCAGAGTCCTGAGTGTTACCTTGACCCAGAAACTGAGCAAGATGCCACTTATGGGGCATTGAAGAAAAGATGCAAGACAGAACCTCACACAGGTCTGCTGCTTTTGCCAATCACTGAAAAGCTAGACCCTTCCACACTGATCTTTGATGGTGTCCGTAAGCCAGTAACAGCACAGCAGTTGCTTGATTGTGGGGTCCTGGACAAACCAACATTCAACCAACTAATGAAGGGGGAGAAAACGGTCCCAGAGGTGTCTATGGATAAAAAGGTATTTTTAAAGGGGACAGGATCAATCGCTGGTATTGGAGTTGGACCTTTAGGGAAAATTTCTTTGTCAGAAGCCAAGAAACAGATGCTGCTGCCTGCAGATAGTGCAGATTTGCTACTAGATGCCCAGGCTGCCACAGGCCACATCATTGACCCGACAAGCAATCAAAAGTTGACAGTAGAGGAAGCATGTGTCAGAGGAGTGGTGGATATTAGGGATCGAGACAGACTCTTAGCAGCAGAAGCTGCTGCTGTGGGCTTCCGGGATCCTAGCACAGCTGAGCCTATTGCAGTGTTTGAGGCAATGAAGAAGGGACTACTTGACAGGAAGACTGGGCTACGGCTGTTGCAGGCCCAGGAGTCTGCAGGAGGCATTCTGGATCCCAACCTCAGCGTGTTCCTTCCTAAAGACACAGCTATAAAGCGCAACCTTTTGGATGAGGACCTCTGTCGTGCTCTAAACCAGAGGCCCCAGTGTTACCTTGACCCAGACACTGAGCGTGATACCAGCTATGGGGCTTTAAAGAAAAAATGCAAAACAGAGTCTTACACAGGCCTGATACTTTTGCCAATCACTGAGAGAAAAGACCCTTCCACACTGCTCTTTGATGGTGTCCGTAAGCCAGTGACAGCACAGCAGTTGCTCGATTGTGGGGTCCTTGACAAGCCAACATTTAACCAGCTAGTGAAAGGAGAGAAAACTGTTCCAACGGTGTCTGGGGAAAAGCTGGTCTATCTAAAGGGGACTGGACCCATTGCTGGGGTTGTACCTGGACGTCAAGGAAAAATGTCTTTGTCAGAAGCCAAGAAACAAAAGCTCCTGTCCGAAGATAGTGCAGCTTTGCTATTGGAAGCCCAGGCTGCCACAGGCCACATCATTGACCCTAAAACCAATCAGAAGCTGACAGTAGAGGAGGCATGTGCCAGAGGGCTGGTGGATATTCAGGATCGAGACAGATTATTGGCAGCAGAAGCTGCTGCTGTGGGATACAAAGATCCTCATGCAGCCAAGCCTCTTTCAGTGTTTGAGGCCATGAAGAAGGGAATAATTGACAGGAAGACTGCAGTACACCTACTGCAGGCCCAGGAGTCTGTGGGAGGCATTCTAGATCCTAATCTTAGTGTGTTCCTCCCCAAAGATACAGCTATCAAGCGCAACCTTTTGGATGAAAACCTCCTTCATGCTCTGAAGCGGAGTGCTTCTTACCTTGACCCAGAAACTGAGCATGATGTCAGCTATTGGGCTTTGAAGGAAAGATGTAAGACAGAGCCTCACACAGGCTTACAACTCCTGCCAGTCTCTGAGAAGGTTGACCCCTCCAAACTACTCTTTGATGGTGTCCGTAAGACAGTCACAGCACAACAGTTGCTTGATTGTGGGGTCCTGGACAAACCAACATTTAACCAACTAGTGAAGGGGGAGAGAACTGTCTCAGAGGTGTCTGTGGATAAGAAGGTCTTTCTGAAGGGAACAGGGTCAATTGCTGGTGTTGCAGCTGGACCTTTGGGAAAAATGTCCTTTACAGATGCAAAGAAACAGAAAATTATGTCTTCTGACAGTGCTGACATGCTACTGTATGGTCAGGCAGCCACAGGCCACATCATTGACCCCAGAACTAATCAGAAACTCACAGTAAAAGAAGCATGTGCTAGAGGAGTAATAGATAAGGAGGATGAATCAAAGTTGTTTGCAGCGGAAGCTGCTGCTATAGGTTACAGAGACCCAAATTCTGCCAATCTCCTGTCAGCTGGCCAGGCCATGAAGAAGGGATTAATTGACAGGGTAACAGCTCTACGTATACTTCAGGCTCAACAGTCTGTAGGGGGTATTTTGGACCCTACCCTGAGTGTATTCCTACCCAAAGACATCGCTATGGATAGGAATCTCATAGATAGGGACCTATACCAGGCCCTGAATCAGTATCCTGAGTGCTATCTGGACCCAGACACCCAACAAGCAACTACATATGTATCTCTGAAGAAAATATGCAAAGCAGATCCAAGCACAGGTCTTTTGTTTCTTCCTGAACCTAAAAAGCCAATAACTGTCCAGGGGCTCAGGGGCCAGGTATCAGTTATGGATCTGGTGGATGCAAACCTGCTGAAATGTTCTGATATGGACCAACTAAAGCAGGGCAGATTGACGAGCCGGGACATTGAAGACCGTCTGCGCCCATACCTGAGAGGTTCTACCTGTATAGCAGGAGTTTATGATGAGGCCAATGAAAAGATGATAACCATCTATCAGGCCATGAAAGAAGGATTGTTGCGCCCTGGGACCACTCTGGAATTGCTTGAGGCCCAGGCTGCCTCAGGCTTTATAGTTGATCCGGTTAACAACACCTACCTGACTGTTAGTGATGCCTACAATAAAAGACTGTTTGGGCCAGAGTTTAAGGACAACCTGCTATCAGCAGAGAGGGCTGTGACTGGTTACAAACTTCCTGGGACAGACAAGACTATCTCACTCTTTCAGGCCATAGAAAGAAGTCTTGTGGAAAAGGGTCATGGCATCCGTCTGCTAGAGGCCCAGATTGCCAGTGGTGGTATCATTGATCCTGAACACAGCCATCGTATTGATGTGAATGTAGCCTACAAGAGAGGTTACTTTGATGAGAAAATGAACAAGATCCTGACTGATCAGAGCGTTGACTCTAAGGGTTTCTTTGACCCTAACACAGAGGAAAACCTAACCTATCTGGAGCTCAAGAAACGCTGTATCACAGATAAGAAGACTGGACTCATCCTTTTGCCTATCATGGACAAGAAAAAGCTAGAGTCGACTCAGAAGAACACTCTGAGAAAGAGGAGAGTGGTAATTGTGGACCCAGAAACTAATAAAGAGATGACAGTACGTGAAGCGTATGACAAAGGGTATATTGACTATGACACCTTCCAGGAGCTGTCTGAACAGGAGTGTGAGTGGGAAGAGATCACTATCACTGCTCCAGATGGTTCCACACGGTTTGTTATCATTGACAAAAAGACTGGAAGACAGTATGACATTACCGAGCTACTTGAAAAGGGAGTAATTAATCAATCAGAACTAGATCAGTACAGATCCCGTACCATTACCCTTACTCAGTTTGCAGATATCATCACTGACAAGACCAAACATGGATCATCATCATTTTCAACTGCAAGACCATCAGCAGCCTCAGGTACATCCTCAGTGAAATCATCATCATCAGCTTCAAGATCATCAGCAGCCACAGGTACATCTTCAATGACATCATCATCAACTTTAAGAACATCAGAAGTCTCAGTTCCACCATCCGTGACATCATCATCATCATCATCATCATCACTCCTGTCAAGACCCTTATCACCTACACTCACCAAGATGACCACAACAAGAACTACCACTGTCACAAGTGGCGCAGTAAGCAGTTTATCTCGAGACTCACCTGACAGCTTTAGGAATATATGCAGTGTGTCTATCAGTTTGGCCGCCCCTGTCGAAACTGTGTGTGAACAGGAACCTGTGGGTGCCATCTTTGACACAGAGGCTCTAGAGAAGATATCCATCACAGAGGCTAAAAATCGTGGTCTGGTGGATTCCATCACTGCCCAGAGACTACTGGAGGCCCAGGCCTGCACTGGAGGAATCATCAATCCCACAAATGGCCAGAGGTTTGGCATCAAAGAGGCCTCTCGCCTGGGTATAATAAACGAAGACATGGTCGCTTTGCTAAAGCCTGCTCAGAAAGCCTACATTGGCTTTGAGGATGTAAAAACCAGGAAGAAGATGTCTGCTGCTGAGGCTTTGAAGGAGATGTGGTTGCCATATGAGGCAGGGATGAGGTTCATGGAGTTCCAATATATAACAGGGGGGCTTTATGACCCAGAAAAGGGCTGTAGAAGATCCATAGAGGATGCTTTGAAAATGGGCTGGCTGGATGGGAGAGCAGCCCAGAAGCTCCAAGACACTCATCACATAAAGATACTGACCTGCCCCAAGAGCAAACTTAAGATATCTTACAAGGAGGCTCTGGACAACTGCATGGTGGAGGAAAAAACTGGGGTGAAAATGCTCCAGGCATCATCTGTGTCCTCCAGAGGAATCAGCAGTCCTTACAATGTCTCCTCTGCCCCGGGATCCAGTACTGGATCCAGGAGTGGCTCACGACGAAGCTCCCGCAGAAGCAGCGTGGACTTGGGCTCCCCCTCCTCCTTCTCATCAGCTAATCGCCACTTTCAGACTAGCTACACCTCCTACACATCCACCAAATAAATCAAGAAAAAAGGTCCTGCACATTTATGCTTTTCTTGCAAATGAATCAGATTTTGTTAGGACTATTTTGATTGTTCAGACAAAACGAAATTGAGAATAAGTAAAGAAAATGTGTGTTGTATATGAGGATACAAAATATCTTTTGCATAGTTTTAGATTTTAGCTTTGGTGTTGCTATCCTTTTGAAAATGATGTTGTCCAAATGATCATGAAAATTAACACTACCAAGATATCTTTGTGGAAATGGGGCGAAAGTATTAATGGCAGCCATCTTAAGGTATTTGGATTAAAAATAAAAAGTGTGTAATTGTTGGTGCTTCTAAAATAGGTCTAAAATGATTGCCATATTCTTGCATACACATATTTCTAATGTATTTTTCAAAATCGTCATGGAATGTAATTTCATTTTACGCTCTGCATTGGTAACATAATGGTATTATGTTAACATTTATTTGACATCTAAAATGCCTGTTTTGTTAGGGGATGGATGCAAGGTTGGGTGATATATATTTGCTTTTTGCTATTTTTTTTCTTACTGAATCAGTTGTTAATCATTGGTTTCTTGCTGTTTAGTGCTTGTTTTGTAACAGTTTCTTAATATCTCAAAATAAAAGCAAAAGTCTTTTGCTCATATGGTTTCACGACTGTTCTTATTCATAGCAATTTCTAATTGTACTAATAAAACTTTTAATTATAGAAAAGGATACTGTTATGAAAATATAATTTCAGTTTGGTTACAAATAATCAAATTTAAAGACAAGTCATCATCATAAAATTAAAAAGCTAAATATGCATTAGTATCATATTTCAGTCAGGACCACTTTCGTCAAAATATCTTATATTCCAAGCAGAATTTACATTTGGCGGTATGGCTCTGTTCTGGGACCTCCTTGTCCTTCCACGTGCCTATGTGGAAAACCTTAAGGCAGGGAGAGCACACCTCCCTGCCCTTCCATGTGCCTACATGGAAAAGTTTAAGACAAGGAGAGCGGCAGCAGAGACCCCCCAGGGTACAGAACAGAGCAAGCATCAATGGCAATCAGAAAATGACATTGATTAATTAGAAACAACATAAAAAGGAGGAGCTGGGGTGGAGGTGGGTGCAAAAGGCTTGTAGAGGGAGCAGCAGAGATAGGCAGGCAGGCTAAAGCAGCTTAAATAAGGCGCCATGCATGATGTTTGCCAATTGGATGCTTGAGGAAATCAGGTGAGCTGTCAGCTGACTGTGTATGGTATCCAATGGGAAGCTTAGAGGAATCAGCTGATGTATGTTTATGACTAGCTGTGATCGTATGA